GCTTTGTGTTCAAAGTTAAAGCAGTATCATTTATGCAGGTTACTAAACAAAGAGAGGAACGTGCTGATGTTGTCTAACAACTAAGTAAATATGTTGCCATAGTAAATATAGAGCTCCTACTTCTGATTTAAAGAACATAGCATGCAAACCTACATCAGGAGAAGTAGGCCAAGTCTCATGCTTGTGTGTCAAATCATGTTATGCCATTTGAAATAGCTCCACCTTGGCTTTTCCAGTCATTGCATCTTCATACCACCTAGCTGACCTTGACCGATCCTGAAAATTAAGCAGGATTGTACCCAGTTGTATTTGGAAGGGAGACCATGAAGAAATTCTAGGTCTGTGGGCTAGACTGAGAAGCTGAAAAAAAATGCTTGAAGAAGGCAGTGCAGACTATTTCCATATTGCCGTCAAGAAAACTACAGAGATGTATTTTTGCCCAAGAGCAGAACTCAGCTCAAAGAAGTCTACAGTTTACTTCAGAATGCAAGCTGACTTTCACTGAATACTTTTCCCAACACATATAGTAGTTCCAAAGCACACCAATACAAACTAGACTAGCAAATAATGCCTCTGTGAGTAAAACTAGCATGCCCGGGAGAAGGTCTTAAATAGGTGGTTGAATAAATCGGGGGGGGGGGGGGACAAGGGTATAAATGGCTAAGAGGTATGAAGGAGAGATTTCACACAAACACACACTCTCACACTAAAAGTCAAAGGGGCACTTGAGGGGGGAGAGTACAAAGTAAATGGAGTACTTACCTATATGGAGTTCCCACAGCCCCTGTTTCCAAGAAGTAAGATTGTAGAGGCACGTGACCTACCATATTTTTTGGAGTGTAAGACACACCTTTTTCCCTCAAAAAAGAGGGTGAAAATCTGGATGCGTCTTATACACTGAATACAGCATTTTTGGCCTCCCGAAACCCCGCCCCCTTTGCAAAAATGCCCTGCAGAGCCTTTAGGAGACTTCCAGTGTGTTCATGGGGGCTGGAGAGGGCAAAAATGAGCAAAAAAATGGCCTGTTTCTTGCTCGTTTTTGCCCCCCCCCAGCCCCCAGGAAAATTCTATAAGCCTCCTGAAGGTTATTCATGCCCCCTTTCTTTCAAAAAACGGGCCCGTTTTCATGAAAAACAGGCTGTTTTGGGGAGGTCTGCAGAGTGCAAAACCTTTTTTAAAAAATTTGCCTTCAAAATCTTGGTGGGTCTTATACTCCATTGCGTGTTGTACTCTGAAAAATACGGTAATCCAGTAGAGTCATTCTTCTTTAAAATTTAATTTAAAAAAAGTCTTGATATCTAGTTTTTCTTAAGCATGGCAGATTTTGGACAGTATGAGAACACATCCAGTCTCATGAATAGAACCTGCTTATGGTGGCCAAGCCCCCAATTTAACCATTGGAGTATTTACTTGTACAGCATGTTCCATATTCAAGTAAAATCCATAAGGCCATACAGTATTACAGGCATTTGCAGCATATTAAACAATGCTTTAAGAATTCTGTAACAAGCAAAATTCTTCAGTAGCTTTATAACCACATCTATAGTATGTTAGGGATACCCAGGTTAAATTGTATTCTACGAAAATAGAGACATTTCATAGACTTTGCAAACTTATTTAATGGAAGGTATTTTATAGCTTTAATGTTATTTGGGCAACATTGGGAGAAGTGGAGGGAGATACATCAGAGCATTGGACATATGTTTAGCTCACCACACCAGCAATGAGCCACTACAGCAGGTGCCACTGTAAAAGCATTCTTTGGATTACACTCCTTTTTTTTTGGGTAAAAAAATATTTTTTCATTTTCATAACATATAATTACATGTATACTATAACATAGCCCACATCATTTTGTATTATTAAATCTTTACATTGATTCATCTTACCATCAACTCCCAAAACACAATTGTTAGCTCTTCTGTTCTCCATACACCATATTTGTCCTTATCCCTCACTTTCTTCTCCCTCTCTCTCGGCCCACTCCTTTCTTCCTTTCTTCCCTCTGTCTGAGTCTGATATTTATTCTCCTTTAATAACTGCTCAAAATAAATCACTTGTAAGAAGTTTGTAATCAGCCAAAAGTTTTTATTTTCCTCCTGCTTTTCAAAATTCTGATTTATGGCAGTTGGTTAATTAAAACTTCCCCACAGTCAAGGTTAAGTTATCCATTATCAGTAAAAAGCCTTGCTTTTTTCTTTATTACATTAACTGGAAGGAATTCAAACAAAGTAAAAGTAAACTTTTCGGGATATTGGTTTCTATTTCAAATTCACAACCAAATTTAAAGTTTATGATTGAGTGAGTTTGTTACTTCTCTGCTTTCTATTCTTCTGTCCGAAAGCATTTCAAACGAAGAAACTTCTTAGGCGGGCTGGTGGTGGTGTTACAACCCTCCACCTTCCTTTCTTCCTTTTTTGGGGGGAAAAAGAAAGTCCCGATCTGACCATCAATATTATTTATGTTCTCAAGATTTCTTTACCTTTTCCAGGTTTAATTTATAGTTGTGGGTTAGATAATTTTTCTTTATTTTATTTTTTTATTAATAATAAATAATTTTTCTTACCAGGCCTTTTATCTCTTCCCCTCCTGTTCCATTTGCTTTGACAAAAAGTCAGCATCTTGTCAGCCATGTTGAAGGCTGCCGCCCTGACTCCCATTCATAGGCAAATCTCTGACCTGCGAGGGACTGTTGATTCCCTCTGGGTCTGATGAGACAATGCCCTTCTTCGCCCCCGCCTCTAGTGGGGGTTCTGATCCAAAAAAGGATCCCCGGAGTTGGTTTGTCAGACAGGGTTCATGTGAGGCTCTTCAGAGCTCACATTCCCCATGTCTGTCCAGCTGGAGAACTTCCTGTCCTACAACCACTACTTATGTGCCCACTTCCATGCTTGTCCAGAGCCCATTAAGCCATCAAATTGCTTTTACTGCCCCATAGAAACTTATGCAGAAGAAAGGACCTAAATCCAGGGAATCATACTATTCACAGAACAATAACATTGTTTTATTTAATGCAGCATCTAGAATTAATGAAATTGATTTCCAAGCAGGATAGAATAGTTACCAAGTCCTGAAAACCACGGTGGGCTCACCCCTTCCCCTCGTTTGCATAAAGTTATAGAAGGGACTATTAATAGTCAGGGGAGAGAGATGTATGTTTCAGAGAGTGGATGGATGAGAACATGAATATATGTTTGCACTAGCCAAAAGGAACAAAATTAAATTTATTTCTGCATTAATAAAATGTATTTCTATTAACTGAACCTTCCTATAATTGAAAAAGATAATAATACTGTTGACTCAAAATGGTAAAATCAATTTATATTGCACATAAGCTTTAAAAGTCTTGAAAATTCACTCTGACTGCCAGTGAAGTGCGGTGAGGTTTATGGCCGATGAGGCAAGCGGGCAAAAGCCGACTTATGTCTGCTGCCCTATGTCTGCCAGCACCGGGGCTTCGGTGGGGCTTTTGGAAAGCCGCAACAAAGCCTCGGCATGGCTTTCCGCCATAGAGCGAGACGCGTCCCGCTCTATGGCGGAA